TAGTCCAGATTTGCTGTCTCTCCATCGTAACCTTCTATAATTCAAAATTGCTGATAGTATCTAACAAAACTGATTTGATTTTCTGATAGTGTTCCAGCATAAAGTGAACCTACATTTTTTTTAAAAATAGTTCTAGGAATTTTCAGGCAAAACTTTAACTAAGCATTTTCCTGAAAATTTAGTTATAAAATATTATTACTAACATTTCAACTACTTGAAATGCTTAATACAGTTTTGAATATTTGAAATTCACTGTCCCCGCAATTGTAGCATTAAACTTCTGTAGCTAAAACAACTATCTTTATTACTCAATTTAATTACGCCAGAGTAAAATATTTTGAATTTTAAGGCACTCGAGATCGCAATTCTTTTCAAATTACTACCCACTTAAAAATAATTTTCTCTTTATCCAAAAGACCAATGTCTAAAAAAGTGAATATTACTATAAACATTTCCAATACTGAAATATTTTATACAGTTTAAAATATTTGAAATTCACAGTGCCACCAATAGTAACATTAAACTTCTGTGTAGCTAAAACAACTATCTTTATTACTCCATTTAATTACGCCAGAGTAAAATATTTTGAATTTTAAGATACTCGAGATCGCAATTCTTTTCAAATTACTACCCACTTAAAGCAATTGTCCAAGAGACTAATGTCTAAGGAAGTGAATAACAGCGGACAATTATCCGTATTTAAATACACGCTGCACTGACAACAATATAAGTTGGGCGAAAGTCGTTCCTTGATTAATCCAGTTGCAGCAATAAATCTCTGGAAAAGCTAGGGGTGGAACAGGAATTCCAGGACTGAGAAAGGGTGGGTACTAGACATAAATTCTAAGCGCAACATTCTCCGAGAAGGGATTGATTTGGTTCGGACAAAGTGGCACTATCATTCGGCAGTTTAGAATAAAATAAGTAAAATGATGAAGTATGTATTAAGCTAATGGGTATTAATCGTCTTTTGAAACATGTCAATAGGTTTATTTCAAGAATTCGTGGGAGGTTAATAGAAATTTAATGACTTGATTTAGTGAAATTAATTATAAATTAACAAAAGCGATGTGATTAATTGAATGTTAATCGACTGAAATGAAAATGTTCGAGTTTCTTTTATATTAAGTTGTAGAATATATAATTTTAATAGAATGTTTAATTGGTTTTAATTGAGCTAAAAGAATCTTATTATAAGTCATTGCTATTCTAGGGTTACTCATTTATTTAATAAAATTATAAAATTAAGAGGTTTTCTTTCAATTTTAATTTTGCACGAAGCAGTTTGCAAAAAGAAAAGAAAATTTAGAACATAGATCTTTTTTGAAAAATGAAGTTAAAATCTGACTACCAGATCTCTAAATAACCGGTTAGACCACGAGTTCCGGTTAGACCACGAGTTTTTTTCGGTTACTGAATCGTAAATGATCGAGTTTCTTTTGGTGCAACTCTAAATTTAAAAATAGAGTTCTCTAGCAATTGTTAATATTCGAACCAAAAAAAGACTATGAATTAATTTAGAAGAAATTTTCTCTGTTTTATAAAAAAAAATCCTGAAGTTCTTTTTTTTATGTTAAGCAGCTGAATTTGCGGGCCTACAGTGGATTTTAGTTAAGTAGTTTTTGTAATATGCGTAAGTTGAAATTGAATAAAATATACTTAGTTATGGTTTTTAAAAACGAACTGTAATAAACTGTGAGACAGAAAAAATGTAACCAGAAAAAATATTTATTTATTTTGAATTTAATTATTATACTTCGAATTGCAAAACTTGATTAAAAAAACTAATGCAATTATTTTTAAATTCATATTCTTTTCATAATTCCCTTTCGTTTTCATATTTGCTTATAATATTATATTGTTATTGAAAAGTACAGTAGAGTCCCGATTATCCGAGTTAATGGGGTCCGCAACAAACTCGGATAACTTAAAAACTCGGTACGGTTTGTTATTATTTTGACAAGTGTACCAGACCTATCATGTTATAAACATACAATCGTTATTAGTATATTGAATCAATTGACCCTTAGTATGCTGGTTTCTATTGCGTTGTGGCATGTTACAAATCTTCACTTCCACTTATTTATTTTAATTAGTTTAACTATTGTCATAATAACTAGTATTTGCTTGCATACTCCGATGCCCTGTCGAATGCAGGGCCATAAACAATTNCTGGTGTCGCCTCTTTTTGTTGTTCTATATATTCAATAGTACATTCGATAGCTTTTAGTCCATCTGTATGAGAGATTTTTATATGTTGATTTTAATAATCACTGTCTTCATCATCTTCGCTAGATTCATTATCATTATTGACGATATTAACGATAATTTCATCAGACCAAGTTGTTGGATTTTGTTTTTTTGAGTGATTGGAAGATAAAATTCAGATTTATTTTTCAGCTGTTTTTTTTAAAAATAAACTAGAACAAAAAAAATCCTTGAAATATTTGATAGCTCGGTTAAAGCGGAAACTCGGATAACCGGGGCTCGAACAATCGGGACTCTACTGTATATATGTTTATTTGAATTTTAACATTTCCTTTTTCATTGGTACATGACTTCATAATTTCATAAAATTAAACAAAATATTAAATAAATAATAGATTATTGGTTGGATAAAAACATAGTTAGTGGTTTCAGAAATCCTAATTGGTTAAGAAAGTCCTGAAAAAAAAAGGGAAAGTAATCTAAAATTCGAGTTAATACAAGACAATATTCTAGGCGTTAATTAATTACTGAAAAGTAAATTATGGATCTGAAATTTCCGTTGTAGCAACAATGTTGCTGATAGGGTGCTTATATGAAACCTATTGCGTCCGTTTTTATATTAAAATGCACAAAGAATATATAAGTATTGTTCGGTTTATTCAAAACGAGTGCTGTCAAAAATTTTCTATCTTAAAATTTTCTATTTTAATGTTTTAAAACTAAAATGTTCAGAATTAATTTTAGACATCATTAGATCTGGTGAGTTTTAAAAATATTATTTAATGAGCATTTGTAATGATGACTAAATTTGATCAACTTTTGACGAAGATGATTAAATTGAAATATTTTACACACAAGTTATTAAATTTCGTACATATTATTAACAATAACACTTATCTCATTTTCAAATTGTGATGAATTCTAATTATCCTAATCGCAACATATCTTCTTTATTGCGTAAATACGATATTGAAACTTTTACAGTTAAACAGTTGGAAAATTCCACCTGAATTTTATTAATAGTCCAACCGATATTTCTCGCTATTTTTTGCTCAAACAAATCATTAAAAGTACGCATCTAATATGTTCGGATATAAATGGTGTAGGTTAGCGTCATTCCCAGCTGTTGATTGGACAATGAAGGGGAATTCCCCGTCACAGTTTCCCTCAACCCCAGTGTCTGGTTTCGATGTTCTGCTGATACATCATAGGGAATGCCATTGTTGTGACAATCGCAGATGTTCATCATCCTTCCTTTGTTGCATCTAAGGTAAAAGTAAGAAAAGAACAGATAAAATGAGAGAATATTTAGACTATGCAGTTCGGGAATATTTAAAAAGCAACAGGGAAAAATTCTGCAACATTTTTTAGAAATTAATGTTTTGTGAAATGCTTGGAGTTAAATAGAAACCAATCTTATAAGGATAATGGACATCGACGTTTCAAAATGATACAGTTAAGTTTAAATATTATTCGCCTAAATCTTGCTGCTATTGTTGGTGTATGTGACAATCTAGCAATCTGTAACAGTTAATTACTGACTTGCATATTATTAGATTTGTAATCGTTAAGAAAGGATTTTTTCGAAAATGCTGGGAATTAAAAATAAAACCGATCTTATGAAATTGTGTTTCTGCTAATTTGTACTTAGCAGGAGCCAGTTTATAAGATGGGTTTTATTTTTAATATATATTTATCATTTGCGTGATTTAAATTTTAATAATGAATCGATAATGTATAGCTGTATATGTTATAAAAAATATATGTATATGTATATGTATATGTTATATAAAATATGTATATATGTAATATAATATATATATGTATATGTTATATAAAAGCTTAAATATGTTCTAATTAGTTGAGTTAAATTTTATATTCCCACGCTTGCTTGCTATTTTTTACATTTTTTAATTACATAATATCATTAATTCAATATTTGCAATTTGTAATAATTTATTTTTCATGTTCTTATTCCGCTTTCGATGCTTTGCTGATATATCATAGGGAATGCCAATGTTGTGACAAAATCTTAAAATATCTAATCACTAAAAAAGGAGAATTTCCAATATTGTTGGAACTCAAAATAAAACAAATTTTGTAAGGCTATAATGCATCAAAACAAATTTTGTAAGGCTATAATGCATCATCATTTAAAAGTATTATTTGTATAAATCTCCTTAATATTTGTAATTTTAATTTTTGCAAGGAACTGATGATGTATGTACAGCTACATGAGAGAAAGAGGTGAATATTTTTTTAATAGAATTATTGTTAAAGTTGATGCTTCAACAATGTGACGAACAGTTAGTGTACGAACAGTTAATCTGGATTTAGTATTGAACCCTAATATTCGATAATATTCCATAGATTTAATAATGTACCACAGTACGGTACAAATTTGCTGCAATCTTAATAAGACGTTAAATTGAACCATATCTTTGTTCAACTTGAACAGTTATGTTGTGCAATAAGGCTGAAAATATAATGCTGATTAATATGGTTAAAATTGATACAAGAGCACTCTCAAAAATTCCTAACGCTTTCAAAAATTCCTAACAGCATGTATCGATGTACAAGCTGCTACAAAAACCGCCATGCGCCAAAAGTTATGGTTTCAATTTGTTTTTTGTAAACTTGAAAACATACATTATCTCTTGTATTTTCGTTCTAAAAACTACGAAAATTACGCCGAAGTTGCGTATGACCTTCATTGCGATATGTACCTTTTTATATCGTAATGAAAGTAAAAATTATCTAAAGGAATAAAAACATGGATCTTCTGCTGGATGTTTTTTTTATTATGTTTTATTTATTATTCTTTAAAACATGAAGTTTACACATGATGATTTTTTATTTTCACAATGATAGATGGACTTGAAATCAATTTACAATACCATCAAATTTCGCTGCGTAAATTTAAGAAAATTTCCAATGATTAAAAAAGACTTCATTTGCAAGATGTAATATGAGATCAATATGAATGGAGAACTTTTCTATACCAGCCGATAAAATCCTTCCAAACATAAAAATAGAAATCAGGTGCTGATGGGCCCAATGATGGCATCACCTGGATTTAACTCAAGATCCCGCCATTTCATTTCCCCAATTAACGACTTGTTCGTAGCCAGAATCACTTCGAATGTTTCGAATGTTATGAAAGATCTCAAATCGTCTTTGTCTTTACAATCATTCTCTCCTAGTTTGAACGTTTTACGTCCAAAGTTTGCGAAAAGAACCCCTTCGTTATGAAGAATCTCTGTCATAAATAATCCGCACGGGTTCTGGTAGAATCTGTATTCTGGTGGTTCCGTTTCTTGTGGTGTATTGAATAAAAAGAACACCTCTTGCATGGCTGGTCGAACGATTGTTGGTAAGAGGGGGTGACTGCTTCTCTTCAGGGCGGCTAATTGTTTGAAAAGTTGAAGTTTTTTCGGTAGTGAATCTACGTTGACGTTTTCGTAGTTTGGATGAAGTGGAAACCATGGTAAATTACTCTCAGTTGTGAAATTGGCTTGGTAGTTTGAAGTCCATTGCATGGGACCTAACTGTCCTCCTCTGTACACCTGTCGAAAGAAAAAGTAAAAGTTTAGAGTGCTTTTCTTGAATATCTTTCTTTAAAGGCTACGTGATGCCACAATAGGCATTACCTATTTCGTAGCTTCTAAAATTTCTTTAATATCACAGACTTATTTTTTTAATCATTCTTAAACGAATTGTAATTAAATTAAATAAATTATTGAATTTTTCTTAAAGTTTGTAAAAAGCGAATATATATTTTATTCTTTTCTTATCGATCAATGTAACGGCTAACTTTTCATTTCAATGCTAATTTAAGAGCTATTAATTCACTGTCGCTGCTAATCTATTACAAAAATCTATTTACAACTCTTTATTCTTTATTTCTTATCACAAATATGTTTCAGATACATGATTATACTAATTCTAACAGTCCTTTTGGCTATTCGCTATCTCCAAATTATTTCAAATCTAATACTGATTATGGGGAGTTGGCTTTATTTTTTGACTACGTTATCTTCGGATTATTCGCCACCCTTGGATCTCTTCCCATGCTCCTAACTGTCCGTTGGGAGCAATTCATTTGCTTTCAATATCCAATTTTCGGCTTCTGGGGGTGCCAACCGTTGAATATCAATCTTAACTGAAATTCTCGAAATGAAGAAAATGATTTTTCTTGATCCCTTTAAGGAGCTTTTCTTTACTTTTATATTTTGAAATATGGCCATTTTCAATACTTAATAAATCAATTTTTATTAAACGATTTTATTCATTTCTCATCATTATATTACATCCAAATTAAGATGTATCTATAACAACCAAAAATATTCTTATATCTGCAATGATGAAACCTGTGCGAATTCACCAATTAATTTTAAAACGATAACCACCTCCATAGGTCACATTTTATTATTATTTATCAAACACAACTTTGTTTTTGTTTACTTTGATGCACAATAATAAAAATGAAAACAGAGCAAAAATATGGTTTCATCGACGTAACAATGCAGAATTCAAATTTTGACAAATAAGTAAAACTGTTTCGAAAGAATTAATATAAATTAGCCAGTTATAATTTAATTGCATTTTATAAACAAGCATTTACTATTATGTATTTATAAAAATTATAAGAAATTAGAATATTATTCTTACGTACAATCAACAAATAAAAATAGCTAATCTATTTTTATATCCACTCAAGATCATTATTAATCACAAAAAAAAGTTGTTGGAAAAGCCGTAAGTTTTAAATTATCTTACCCTATCTGAGAATTACAGACATTAAATTTATTAAATTTTTCCAGAAAGTATCCAAGGTGACTAGAAATAATTTAAACTAATGTAATTCTTTATCTATACATAATAATAAACGCGGCTGTGTGTGTGTGTGTGTGTGTGTGTGTGTGTGTGTGT